CGAATTTTTTATTTGACTCAATAAAGACTAATGTAATATAAATCATAGCAAGTAAAATTAGTAATGTCATAAAGGCTGCGGTCAAAAGGGACTGACGAATGGGATGAGAAAAACAGACTAAATAATAATATAAAATGGCACAATGGGAGAAATATTGCAGGCGATCTGCTGTTTGTGGTATATTTTATACGCCACTCAGTTTCGCTTACACGCACGAATGAGTAGGAGAAAATACCTCGCACACGTTCCAATGCTGATCCTGCAGCGCCTTATACGCTATGCATAGAAGACGGCGAAAATATTTGATATGTATGAGTGTGTATATAAAGTGAAAACATTTACACATGTTTGATTTATGGGTCAAGTGTGTGATAAAACTACAAAAGCAAGCAAAGCAGTACACAACTCACGAACACACAGAAACACACACAAATACTGAGACATGAGAGACATGCGCGCATTTTAGTATATGATGCCACGACGTGCAAGGGAGGACGAAAATATCAGTGTAAGCCAAAGTAAAATCGCGTTTATATTTCAAAAAATTATTGAGTCATTAGAATGTCGCAAAATATTATAATTTGAGAGTCTTAAAGCAGCACAATAAAGTCGCAAAACAAGAATTTTTTGGCTGCCTAATTCGATTGTCATAAATTAAATTTTTCTTAGAATTCGAATAATGTTCGGATGAATTCCAGATAAGCGCACGTTTCCAACTATTTTAATGGGAATGGTGTACAAAAGTAACATTTCAAAATCTTTCAGCTCACGCACTTGGACCCCAGGCTATGACCCATAAAATTGTGTTCAACTTTATTGGCCAGAAACGAAACAGTACAAAGGGTTTCGCTGAGACGCAGTGCAGTGCGCGTGGTCAGTATAAACTGCATCAAATTAATGTAACCTTATTAAAAGTAATTGAGTTTTATGCATCTCAACAGCGTCTTCATCGACTGCAACAAGCAAAATGAAGTCAATGGGCCAATTAGCCAGCACGACAGCAAGATGGCTACAGACGTATAAAAAAATGTGCATATAAATTTATTGAACCAAAACTATATTTTTGCTGTAACTTAAGTATAGCTTTGATTTATGGCTACAAAATGCCAGAAAATTCCATTGGAGACAAAAACCAGTGAGCTAAAATTGAAAATGACAAATTGCATTAGGGCTCTAGTACAACAACACCACTAGCAAGGCAAGGATGACCGCAAAAGTGACAGCACGAAGAGTGCAAAAGTAAGCAACAATTTTTGGTCTGAGGGGCCATTTATGGGCATACATGAAGTCGACAAATGCAGCAACAAATGCAACTGTAACTGCAACACCAACGGCAAATGCAACAAAAATAATAACGAGGCCAGCAACAACAATGTTTCACATGGTCAAAATCCCATTCACAGCTAGAAGGATTTGTATGGCTGTGCTTGTGTGTAATCCTGACGCAAACACACATGCAAATAGGGATTGTGTCAGGGCTGGACAAACTTGGCGAGACGAAAATGAAAACAAATGGAAATAACAAACATATGAAACCCTAAACAAAACAACGACAACAATTTTAAAACGATTTTCTAATCAAAACACATTACTCTACATCACAGAGTCATCTTTTATATTGTTTTTACAATGAACATTGCACGTACAAATTTAATTATGCGCAAACCACGATGTTTCGGTTTTTCTTTCTTATACCCTGTAACCAATTAAAAAAAGTCGATTTGATCTACCTATGTCCAAGCTTCTGCCTGCCTTTGAAACTAGAGACCCAACTTAAGAATATACAATATAAAGAATCTTCCCAGGAAATCAATAAATAGATTTTCTATCGCCTCATTGTTTATAAAGCCCTTATGGCCTTATGCTTTAGTGTGAGCAACTTGGTTTTGGAACCTGATTCTCAACTATCTAAGTCGGCAATAATTATTCTTCTTCGTAACCAATAATTATTTTAACAAGTGAGCATACTCTAGTTTTGATTCTCCACTTAGGATATACTCTGCAACCCTCACACAATAAACAAAATTAATCGTTTAGTAATCCTGCAGACAGTCAAAAAGACGGACGGACATAAATTCGGCCCTCTATCCTGACTGAGCATATAAAAACCTTATGGGATTTGAGTGTCGCTCTCATTGCTTGTTTCACTCATTTGGGTACAGGGTATAAAAATGAAAATTTGCAGAATATATGGCACCCAAAATATTTGATAGGACAGGGTCTAGGGTAGGTGATGCATGCACGACCAACCACAAAAATTTCATTACATGTGTAAATTATTTACGAAACAATTTGGCCAAATATAAAAAAATTAAAACTTCCAGCGGGGTCTGCGAGCAAAGCTCTAACGGAAGCGAAAATAATTATACTTATTTTTCATGTATGTGGGTGAGTTAGTGGGCCAATGGGCCAAAAAGATGAAAGCTTTCAGCAATTTCAAATAAATACACATTTAGGGCTCCCCACAAATCATATAACTGAAGTTTAAAACAAAACTCATTTGTAAATTCAATTAATTAAAATTGTAAAGTAATATAATATTTCAAATTTATCACGCCCGAAGATGGCTCTACCAATTGCAATAAAATATTTTTCTTGCCTAAGCTAAAGCCTAAAGCGTCAGCCAAGGTATTAACATTTTTTGGCAATGTCCACGTTTTGTTTACCAAATTTTCAATGGCTGCATGGTATAAATATGTAAATCTCGTCAGACATGCCTTGAATCATTTAGATAAACTGCTTTGTGGATGCATCGAAATGTCTATTGCAGCGTTAAATGGTGTGGAGCACACAATGGTCGGACGCCCCGGGCATTTGCTTTGACAATTCACTGGATGTAAGCACAGACCCGCTGCCTGTCAAACATATACAAACATCTATAGAGACAGGCACAAATATGGTAATAATATACATACTGGCAGCTGTAGGACAAGCTACATTTGGCAGCCCGTCACACAGTACTTGCCAGGGAGCACTTCAATGCCATGTCAATAAATTATGTAGTGGATTTTCAGCGAGACACAAACATTAATACAAAACCTGTGCTTACAGACTTCTCGCACAAGTGTGTGTGTGTGTGTTGTTTTGCATGTGGCACATAAGTCGCCTGATTTATGTTCAATTTATGCGCATGGCTCAAAAGGGAATCAAAGTCGAACGCTTTGGTCTTGGCAGCAGTTCCAATAAATTTTAGATTGCGAGCGACAAATGCAAAGCAAAAAAAAAAATAAATAAATGTAAAAAATCAAATCATATTTTCACATTAAAAATACATATAACGATAATAAGCGCAACATCCTGGGCAAACCGGCACAATACCAGCCATAAAAGAAAATAAAAAACGCATCACTCCGCTGTCACAGTCATCCAATATACTCCGACCATTTGCAAGCCAGGCAGCAAAGTAAATTCCTCGCAAAATTGCCTTCTTTTTTATTGGTTGTGCCAAGCTCCTGAAAGGTGTACAAAGTGTAGTGTGCTTTTAGGCGGCCACGAGTTTCATCGCAAAAAATGCGACTCAAAGCAAATTACGCTGACAAATGAAAATGTCACAATGATGATAATTTATTTTGCCTTTGTCAATTGCCCCTCGCACCAGCTGGCAAACATTCCTCAGACATTCTAGCTTTCATCTGAAACTGCCAGACCGTACATATGCCAGCTGCTGACTACCAGCCGCTGCGATCTGAACCATAAGCTCTGTGCAATTAAAAGTAACGTTGGGCAATTCCCAAACCAGAAGGTATCCGTACATTGCTGTATCATATCTATTTCATTAAGTGTGGTGCAAAGATAGCTTGGAATGTTTTCATGGATGGTTTCTTATAAGTATGTGCGTCTGATCAAAGTTTGGAATTAAGAGCACTTTGACATTGTAAGACACTTTATATATAATTCATTTGATTCAGAGAATAATATAAGAAAATATATATCGAGAAATTTATAAACTTAGTTTTCAGAAACCTTTGTGAAACAAATAGGAAACTTAATGGTTAAAACCTCGTTTAAATGGACCAGTTAAGGACCGTGACTTAAGAAGCTAAATTTCTTTTAACACTAAGATAAAAAGATAATTTAAAAATATAATAAATGGTATACATGTAAATCTTTAGTAAATAAATAAAATAAAATATTTAGCACTGCGTTAGAGAAAGGATTCAGTTAAAGGATATGAAAGGAATATAGTTTCAATTAGTTAATATTGTTCACGAAATATCGACATATAGTCTCCAGCGCTATCAAACAAAAGGGTAATCTACTTTCGCAGTACTTTGTTGTACGGTTTTATTTCGTGTTTCCGTCTCTTTGTTCGTTGTGGCAAAAACTTTACGCTTCATATGCGCAGAGTGTTCCTGGCTGTTTCTTACGTTTTCCAGCCAATTCGCCATGACGCGTCTTGCGCTATTAAACTTTTTGACATAATATTGCCGTTATTTGCCTTGTGAAGCGGAGTTTGGCTCAGTACATTGCTGAATACAAATATATGTACTTACTTGTCATATAATAAACTTTTATGCTATGGGGTTTTGATGCCTTGCTGGTAGGACACACACACATGGCCCGGGCAGGAAACACCGGGGACAGCACTTTATGCGCATTCCACAGTGTCCTGGACTCCGGCCTCCTGCTGAGTCCAGCGAAAACTTTTCATTCTTTTCGGTTGCTTCTTTATTAGGCTGAAAAATGAAAATGCCTTCGCAACAGGACCTCTTCTCCTCATTCGGGTTGTCTATTATGTGCAGCCCGTTAAAATGTCTGTTTGCTAAATATTTGCATAAATCTTTTGGGCACGCGCAGCCTCTGTGTGAGTGTGTGTGAGTCCTTCCCACATTTTGTTTATGTTACCCATACGCAACGTGTATGTAATTTATTTTAACTTTTTAAGGCCCACGATCAGAATGTCAGCGGAATTTGCAAAAAAAGGAGTTGGCATGTTTGCTACATTTACCATTTTCATAATAACTAAAAACTTTATTTAAATATTTGCTGCTTTTATTTATAAACGTAGTTAATCCTAATGCTCGTTAACGCTCAGCTGGCGCTACTCACTTAAACATTAAAACAACTTTATAATCCATAATAATGTGTTCACATTTTGTTTGTAACAAAATATCATCAACACAATCTCATGTGACATTAATATATGCTTGTAGTGTTTGTTTTTATTGTTATTATTATGTCTGATTATAATACTCAATTTAACTTTTGTACATACACATACAAACTTTATATGTACTCTATACTCTTAACTGGATTTATTGTTTTGATTATTTTTGGTTTTTCGTTCTCTTTTTCTGTTCACGGTTTATAGCAACATGCATTTACTCATTAAACATTCATTTAACTGTCGCGACAAATTTCACTGGCGCGCATTTATAATTTTTAATTATTAATATTAATATTTATGACTGCAAATGGTTTTCTCTTTGGAAAATTACACACATACTTCTACCACACCTAGATAATACAGCAGCTTTAATTTAAACATAACATATATGCAATTGTTATTTACAATTTTGATCAGTTAAATGCCCTGCCATGCCCTGGCCTGCGAATGGTCATAACATTTAATAGTCGACTGGCCATTAAGGTGGACAGTCGCATGCATTTTTAAATGTGACACATTAAACGGCGCCAGGCGCAGAGGAAACGGCTTGGGGGAGGTGCGAAATGCCATCCTGGGAAAAGGAGTACATATGCAACCATGGGCCATCGACCCTGGCGGAAAACCGGGCGAATTGCTTTCAGACAACTGAAGTCTTGGGCGCTACACTTTAGTGGGTAGCTTAGCAAATATAAATGAAAAGTGACTTGCAGCTTTCTAGGGAAATACAACCGGACATGATGAAGTAGAAGTACCAAATAGAGTTCCAAACTCTTGAGCAACAGCAAGGATGGGGCTGGGCACATATGCTCAATACTTCATGGAATACTCAAAATGTGCGACACTTTGGAGGAAACAGACTAGCTCAGCATTTTATGCATTTTTGCGTAGATAGAAACGGCACCCCAACAGAAAGTATAAGAAATGGTGCTCAACTATGTACATACATAGTTAATACAATGCCTGTTTAATCGAAGAGACAGAAAATCGTACGACTCGAGATTGAAGCATTTGTAAATTTGTTAGTTTTAAATGTTGCCTGGTTTAGAAAACTTTGAAAACTCAAAGCTTGAATAGGAACATTATGAAAACATATGCATATGTTAATCATACCAAAATGCGTTGTCGAAGGTTACTGCCGCTGATTAAGTACTGGCAGTTATTTTAAATATTTACATTATTAGCTAGGCCTTACAAATATATACAGGTGATTATCATGAAAATTATTCCAATTTATGATGACAATAAACATCGCATGTAAAGCCCTCAAATCGAAACGATATATATAACAAACAAATGAATGAAATTTAAGTAGACTTTGAAATATTAAATTATTGCCACAGCTTCTACAACTGACAATACCTCTTTTTCTTTTTTTTTCGAATAATTATTTTTATCAATAGCAATACATATGATTTTTACATTCTTTACTAAATTTTTTGTTGTCCATTTTACTAATGTCTCTAGTGCTGGCATATAAGTTTAGATAATAGTACTATGTACATAGCTGCACCACCCCCCTGAGACCTAGTCCCAACCCATGTAAAGTACACACGCACTTACTTAAAACTTAGAGAGTATACCAAAAGCAATATCAGTAGCTGCACCAGTACCAGTCGCCGTAGTTGAAATTATCAAAGGCGGCTCATAATTAGCATTATTAGCATTTTTTTATTATATATTTTTTGTTCTTTAATTTTATTTTTGGTATAATGTGGCATGCTTCGGTGCTGCTGCCACTGCAACTGCCTCTGGTGCACCTACTGCTGCATTGCATCATTTGCGCGACAGCCAAGCTTCACATCTTGATAGCTCTCCAGCGGGCAGCCCACTTAGTTACATTTGCTGACTTGGCTGCCGCATTAGCGGTGGCATTTCTGTGGCGCTTCTAACTGTGCAGCTTTAATTTATCACCGCGCAGCTGTACTACTCCTATTGACAAGGTTGGACGAGGTTGACGTCGTCTGTTGGCCACCATGTTTGCGGTTACCGCAGATGCTGTTCCTGTTCGCCCGCGCCGTTTGACTTTTCTCCGGCCGTGCTATGTTTTCTGTCCCATCTCCAGCGGCTGCACCACCTCCCCTGCCTGTTCCCTGGAGCAGCAGTGTGCAGCAGGCTTCCAACAATACAAATGCCGCGACCATTGTGCTAATTACTTTGACGGCCTGCGTTGCCTGTTTCGTGTGGCAGGCCCAGGCCAGTGCGACTGCAGCTGGTGCCGCATTCGTTTGCATTGCTTCGGGTCGCTCGCCTGTGCAAAATGAGCAAACACAGAAGAAAAATTAATGCAGACATGGCATAAATGAGTTACAATTTGTTGGATCCTTTCACAAAACACACTCACCCGAACCCACACAAACACCGCACCAACCCCACCCAGGACTCACACAGACCAACAAACCGTCTCGAAATACTTATTCCTGTTGTGGTTAACTCACTAAATATTTTGTTCAAAAATGCATAAAGTTTGTCGGGCTAAGAAAAATTGTACAACAAAGCTAAGTGTGTACTCCATCCTTCCAAATGCATTATATATGACGAAAAGGTCAAGTATTTGCAAATACTTTCCGTGCAGTTATCAGACTTGAAAGCCCTTCAAGTGCATCTGTGTGTTCATTCATCCATTCAATTTTATTTCCTATTGATTTTTTAACCTTTGCCATCCACTTATTGGGCATTTAAACTCGCTTAATGCACTTGTCCCACATACAAATATGCATTACTACTCACCCGGATTGCATTTCTACTCACCCTGCAGCACGTGGACGCGTATGCTAGCAATTTCAGTATTTGATGGATAGCACGAGTATTTGCCGGAGTGCAATAAATCCGCATCGTAGATAAGCAAAATTGATTTGGTCTCCTCTGATTTAATGGTTTTAAATTTCAACCGCCCACCGGCAGTCTCCTCGCTGAGCACCTGTGTGTATAAAGGTGTGTATTAGAACATTTTCGCTAGAAATGTTGTTGCTTGAAAGGAAATTTGAAACAGGTGGCAGGAGGCGGCAGTCAAGCGGCAAGCAGGCAGCCAGCTAAATGCAGAAGCATGTTTTCTCATAATCATAAAAGCTAAAATTAAATGTGTTGCGTATACGCAGCGTAAACAAAAGCGCGAACACAAGTCGCGCCCAGCGCTCATAAAAGTTGAAACGTTTATCCAATGGCAATTGGCTGGGCCTTGAGCTTGAGTATTGGTATGAGTTTCAGTTTGAGTGGCTGGGGTTTTGAACTGTGGGCGTGGCAGCTCTGATTTTGTAGATTCTCTTTTTGCGAGGGCAAAACTCAAAAATTGCAAGATAATTTGATGCACACAAAAAAATTTTAATTTATCTTTTAAACTTGTTTCATTTATTTTATCGTTTACATAAATTGATTTGACTCTGGTCTGATACTCACCTTATCCTGATGATACCAGAAAATGTGTGTTGGTGGCTCCGGACTGAACTTAATGATACATGTAAGATTAATGGTGCTGCCTTTGTCCACATAGAGATCGGGTCCGCCGAGTATCGTTGCAGTGGGCACTGCAAAGTAAGTAGTTGAACAATTTCATCAGTTATTGCAAACAATGAGTACGAGAGTGAGTGAATAAGTGAATCAGCAAATTATTGTCAACATTTCTTAACCCACGTGACTGTTTCCAATCAGTAAGCTACCTAAATAACGTTGAACGAACGTGGAATTTGGAAGCATCTGTCCCAGGTTGACTCATTCTGGCCAAATCGATATCTCGGTGCGCAAGTTGGCAACTGGTCATATCGGACCTCATTCCATTGCTAAAAAAAACTCTATTTGTTGTCAGACGTAGCTATGCTCTTGCTTCCAGCTCGTACGCTTTGTTGGTGATGCCACTTATGCAACCTGGCATTGTTCTCGCTTATGTTGCAATCAGCACACACGAATATCTATGAGTGTGCGTACCGTACATTTGTGTATGTAACAAATCAATGACAATAAGAAACGTCAGCAAAATGCACTCACATGTGGACTACGAAATGAACAAGAAGTCACCAAGAAATAACCATGGTCCAGCTTGCGCAAGAGAAGAACAAGCCCTCATTGATAGACAAGCTGTCTAGTGAGCGAGTCAATAAGTGAAATAAGTTTCAAAGTTCCAGCTGGCAAAGTAAATTATGATCTTAAGCTATTTTGCGGTTTATTTGGAATATTGATTGAGTTTGATTTTGATACGGACATTTCTACCCTTTATTCACAAGAAATCAGATGATTTTTCATCGAAAGGCATCTGATTTCTAAGGCGTCACATATTGTTTGCTTTTCATCTGATCCAATCATCCGATCCAAAACTGCGATGTATAAACACTTGTGGCCGTTGTTTGGATCAGACGTTCTCAATATAAGCCACAGACGTTCGTTCATTAAATTCAGTAGGTCTGTGGTCATAGAATGGAGCGAATATGCATAGTTGTACTTTTAATTTTCGTTTGCTACTCCAAATGTCTGGCCATAGACTTTTGTAATATGACAGAGTGTAAAGGAGTGAGCCATTTGGGCTGCAACAATGATTTGGTAAGGCTTGAAATCAATAAGGCAATTATAATTCGACTCTCTTCTAGACCTTTCATAGTAGTTGCATGCATAATTGTATACTGCTCAATATGCAAATATATAAGGATTACCTGATCAAGTTACACAATAAATACCGTGAAGATGTGGCGTCCGGAGCTTTAATGGGTCTGGCTCGAGCTAGTCACATGCCGGAGTTGCTGTGGCATTCTAAGCTGGCTCTGATAGCCGAGTACCATGTGAAGCGTTGTCTACAGAGGCTTGAGAACTGCATGGCTGTTACTACGTTTCCCAATCCAGCTGTTAACTACGGTTCAAGTTGGTTAGATATTGCATCGCTTCCCAGCTATTCGCGTTCGACGAACTCTGAGAAACTAACTAGTCAAACCGAGCAGTGGATGCACCAGGTGTACAACCTTGCACAAGGGGATCTTGGCGGTGAAGTCTATGAGATTAAAAACATACTTAATGATAACAACAGCTACGTGGGCTGTGCCGCGGCTGAGGACTATGATAAGGTGGCCGATCGCTTTGTGCTAATATGTTACTATAACCATCCGCATGAGCAGAATCGTCCAATCTATAAGAGCGGAAAATTCGAGGTAAAACACTGTCCTCACGGGGTCAGTGATAGTTATCCACATCTGTGCAAAACGATTACCGACATAAACGACTAAAAGAGTACAACTTTCATTTCTAACAAGCCGCTCCACTCTTGATGGTTGCCTAATTAAATGTGACAGGTACTTGAGAAATAAAAAATATTTGTGGCAAAGTATTTTCATGAAAATTGTTGGGCCTCCAGAAAAAAATGTGTAAGCTGTGTGTGGATAGTAACAAGCTGCCAAAGTTAGTCCGAAGAAGTATTTTCCAAAGCAATTTGTTCGTTATGAGCCAGAAAAACGTTTCCCCAGCCAAAAGTGCTAGACTCAACTCTAGAGCAACTATCCTACTTCCGTCCAACTGGAGGACTTGGCTAAAAAGTGCACAAAACTGACGTGAAATACATATAAAATAAAAATATTTAAGGATAATATATGCACACGCTTGTCAGCTCTCAGCTCCCCCTTCGCACTTCTGTCTACAGCAAGTTTTAAATAACGCGTGGTCTGGTTGAACATAAACTTGTCAGGCAGTTGCACTTAGGAATTTTCACTGCTTATGTCATATTTCTTAACAAACCCGCAACTGTTTGAATGGGGCCAAACATGCCCGCAAATTCGTCATCGCTGGACTGATAAACTCGATCCGCGGCTATGTAGAAGGCATCGTCGTTGAAATATTGCTGCATCATGCTGCTCGTCTCCTCGTCGATAATATCTGATGCACACCACGGCAAGTGGAGAGACACACAACCAAAAATTTGTATGAAAATAAAAAACAAACAAGAAATGTAAATAAATAATCGAAAAATATTAATAAGGTGCATACAAATCATAATCATAATAAATGAATTCTTCAAAAAAATAAATAAATATGTAGTTTAATTAAATTAAATAATTACTCAAAAATCGTATTAAAAATAACCTAAGTTCGCTAAAAGCGCTAATTGTATATTATAAGTATTTAAATCTTAATCATATTCAAGGAATTCTATTTAATATTTTATAAATAATCATGCAGTATTGTTGCTTACTTAATTGTTTTGGGAAAAATAAACTATTTGATACCATTCATCCTCCTGAATGCAAGCACCGACTAAATTATAACCTTTATTTTTTTATGTGGCGCTGAATCAAAAGGGAGCATGAAGTGGGTAAGTATTATAAGATATATGAACTAAAAATAGCATTGTGAAGTTGGCTACAGGGTGTCTCCGAGCCGAACATGTGTTCCTAAAGCACTTTACCTGATGCAATCCATGTAAAAAATAAGCAATAATAAAAATAGTCTCAGGCAATTTACTTTATCCATCTGACTTTAACATTCAATAATAGAATTTTCACAGTGTTAACAACAGTAGTATTCGTTTTCTGTTTTCTTAACGTTTTTGCCGTAACAACAATTTTTCACAATTTATTTCGAAATTCAAGAAAAAATCAAACTCTTTATTCTCGCAGCTGTTTTATCTGCGCCTGGTGGTTATTTTTATACTCTATTTTGGTGCAATAACCGTCCAGCTGACCGCCCCTTCATATGGACGCTTTTGGGGCTAGATACTCCAAGTATCTAAAAAAAAATTAATAATTCCTTTGGTGTGTTGAGTACTACATGCTACTCTCCATCCTGCATATTTTTACTTAAGTTGGAATTTTTAAATCGCTGCTTTTGAGTTACATTTACATTATTGCACTACTAATGGAGAGTATTGCGCAGTCGGCTCCACCCGACTGGTACGGTATTACATGTTATATTGTTTTTGTGTATTTTTGTAGCGATATTGCCAAGTGTGCATAATTTACACTCTTGCAAATTGCATGAATATGCAAATAAGAAACATGTGAATACCCCTCGCATCGTAGTTTTTGTAACATGTCGAAATATTACGTATACGCTGGCAGCAGCAGAAGCAGAAGTTGAAATATGCAAAACCCAACGGCTAAAGCCTCGTCAGCTGCACGGCTATATAAATATTCGGTATATTTTATAAGGTATAGGTATGTGTGCACACCCTGACACAGTTTTTGATTTCAACTCACCCACAATGTTCAAGTTGACCGAATAGCTGCGCACCGGCTGCGTTGATATTTGGCATTCGTAGACACCAGCATCCCGCTGCTGGGCCCATTTGATTTGCAATGTCCATTCATCAATATCACGATGATACGAGGTCTGAAAACGCTGATCCGTTGTATAGGTATATGTGCCCACGGTGAGTATGTGCAGATCACGATGCCGTATCCAAGCGACCTGTGAATATGGAGAAGCAAATTTAATTTTATATTAGCATGCTTGTGAAAATGCAATTATCTATTGCACATTCTTAAGGCAAACCAAAATTATTGCCTCCTAGTCAACACAACCTGAACAATCAAACATTTTATGCTAACAGACAATAGCAGCCGATTGCAATGTTCTTTATTGTGTGGCTTACGAAATCACCAAGCATATAAACCCAATAATTCAATTAAATAAAACAATTAGGAATATAAAATTGATATGTGATATATCATATCATATGCATTAAGCGAGCGAGTGGACGAGGCATTTAAACTATGTGTATGTGATTTGAATAAATAACCTTGGGTTAAAATCATGTTTGATTCTGTTTCAATTTGCATTTAATTTTCATTTTATTACTTTAAAATTTTACGAAAAGCTTGTCATTTATTAAAAGTACGTCAAAAACAATTTGTCAGTGTATGTGCATAAGTCGATTTAAGACTGCTTTTCAGACTTATTAAAACTGATTATTTAATTTATTTAAAGAGGCAGGAAACCAAATTTGAATACATCAAAATGTGCCTTTTTTGTAATATTTGTGCGTCCTATGCTGATTTACATTTTGATTAAGCTAAGAAAAACTTGTGTCAATTTGCTGGCCTTTGCTTTGGTCAGCCTAAGTCCGAGTCTCAGGCTCATTGTCGGTCGCAGCCACAGGCCAAAAATGTATGCAGCTCACAATCTAAATATTAAATAACTAAAAATTAGTGTGCGCCACGCATGACAGCGCCGGAAAATGATACTTCCGTGCTCTCAACCTCGACATTCCTTTTCCGCATTGGCCACTACATTTTGTAAATTTTTTATGTTCCATTTATTTTTTTGTGTGCTGCCACTGTTTTGGCAAGTTTTTGGGCGCCTTTTTATGCGGTGGCCAATTGCTACAGTAACAAATACACACACATGCACACATTGGTAGACACAGAAACAGACAGGCAGACCAACAGACAGTCAGACAGACAGGCAGACAGACACTGCGTCAGAGTCAGCCAACTGTGCCAGGCATCCATCTGTGCAGTTCCAGTTGCCGTCTGTCTAATTCGGCAATAACAGTCCAAGCCTGTAAAAAAACTTTATTCCGTCAGAGTTTTTGCCGCACTGGCAACATAAATTTACCGTTGGCCAAAAACGAGCCGCCAGTTAACTAGAGAAGCTTTCCCCACAAGCCCTTGCACTTTCTCTCCCTCTCTCTCTCTCTCTCTCTCTGTCTGTCTCTCAAACTATCTTTCGTCCTCCCTCTCTGTCTGGTATGTGTAGTTTACTGATTGCGGAAGCGGATTTGGTTATGTGGAAATCTATAACCCCCGTCCAGGGTGCCAAGTCCAAAGCTCGCTTAACGTAATCAACGCTGGAGCATTTATAACTTCTGGCGCTAAACGAGGAGCACCTGCAAAGTTTCTCACGATTGCATGCAGGCCATACATGTGTTTGGAATGTATGCGAATACATCCGCAATGCTGAAGTGTGAACTATTCGGGTGTGTTTGATTGTTAAATCTCATCGTAAATTACGTTTAATGCTGGGCTCATGTCCTGGTCTGCAACAGATTGTGCTGCAGTGGCAGTTAGGACATTGACAGCGTGACTAAATAACTAGCCCATTCTACGGGTGTTCATCAACCCAACATGGCCAACATTTCAGCAGTATCGCAGTTATGGCAACCAATTTAATTGGTTTGCTGAAATTCAATACTTTGTTAAGCAATTTCAGAGAAAGAGCCTTCAAGCGAACTTGTACAACAGTTTAAGTGCTGCTCCTCAAGCAGTCAAAAAAGTTGGAAAACGAGATGTTAATTGTCTAAAGCAAATTTAGCCTTGAGGTTCCGAATATCCAAACTGTCTCATATGGCAAATGGCAAATGGTCAAAGTTTTTTTAGGCCATGGAAAATCAAGTGACGCCATAAAACTAATGACAATATCTGGACAGGGTACATGGACAACATGTGTTGGCTTGTGTTGTGCGTCTCAACTTAGGTTCATTGTTTCAACGTCACGTAGTACATAATAAACTGACAGTAAATTTAATAAGCGGCTGTTATTATGGCACATCCACGCACGCCGACTACAACACATGTGTCCTATGCCAATATCATATAGCAACTATCTGAGATGGCCGACATATTGCCCGCACTTGCCGCTACATTTTTGTTTATTAAATGTAAATAAAAATAAACATTATTAAAACAGATGCCCCCGCAGCAGCAGTCAAGCTATTGTTTTCGGTATATAAGCATATAAGCTGGTTTCATATAATTTTTGTGTATATTTTTTCTTTTAGTCCACGTTATCTTTTCACTGAACGCTCTTCTCTTTAAGTTAGGCGTGCAGCTTTTGTAGTTCACAGATATATACCACAAAAGATGGCCATTTAAGGATTTGTATTTATGCTTATCCGTATCTTTGCGCGGGTCGTACTCACCGTCTTGTTGCCCAAATGCTTGACACGACAGCCCAAATATGCGGATTTGCCCACAAGGGATGTTATATTCCTTGGCATTGTCAAATCAAAATACGGCTCGTTCCATTTGTGGCCATGCGGATAATGTAATGGTGGCAGATGTGTTGGCTTTGAATCTGCATTATTATGATTGTTGTTGTTGTTCACAGATTGCCGCTGGTAGCACAATGTTAGCCCTGCGAGACAGCAAAAAAAAGAAACAAATCAAAAAAACGTTTTTTTCATATTATATTAAAATTAATATTTGTTCATGCGTAATTTTCCATTGGCGTTGCCAATGTCCGTCAGCGTTACTTAACTTCAATTTTTGTTATACTTTTATTATTAACTCATAAGCCCAGCTAAGCCACCTGCGGGACAATGCTGTTTGGCGACTCGTTTCTGCTTAGGGACATTGCCGTTGTGGCCGACAGCGTCATGAGCTCCGGCTCCGGCTCCGGTCGGAAACAGGAAACGTTTCTCTCCAAAATCAACCTTATTCATACTAATTGTAGTTGAATTGAAGAGTTGACACAACTCACACATACATAACCGGGACCCAGCTTTTGTGTTGTGTTGTGATCCTTGTGTAACTAAAACTAAAATTGCGCAAATGACAAACTCATTGTGCCGGGTCTCAAGTGTCGGTGGCAGCTGCATGTGCCTCGCTTGCTCGACAAGTGCGCCCCTTGTGGAGTACCGGTTGTTGTTGCTTCTGGTTGTTGTGCGCTGCATTTATGGGCCGCTGACAGGGGTTAATTTTCTAATTACCAGACGCGTCGACTTTCTATGACTTCGACAGCATTCGCGAAATGAGAACGCAATGTTTTTTACGACGGACAGAGTGCCCCGACTATGAAGTGTTCTGATGTTTATGCTCTGCTACGACTAAAGAGTCCTTGAGTTGGGAGTGCCCGACTCGAAGATACCCTTCTACACGCACATACAAGCTGGCACGCGATTCCAGCGTTTCTAATAAATAATGGCTGGAAATCGATACCTATAGATAATTCGATCTTTCTAAATTTAAAAAAAATATATACGCTTGCGGTATAAATCAACAATATATTTACATTATTGATGAGGTTGGAGAAAGCTACTTCTACATGTTACATACATTTTCACAAAACCCTTATGCCCTATTTTCAACAATTTTGAATGAGTTCTCAGTATAAAGAGGAAATGGCAACAACAAGCTCTAAACAGCAAATTTGCACCCAAAGGCAAACAACGACACAAAAAACTGGCAGCCGTATTGAGAGGCTCATAAAACTGCCCATGTCAAATTGAGAGGCGTCGTAAAAAAAGCAAAAGCTGAGTGAAAGTTTTTTAGAGCTGAAGTAATTTTAGTAACAATCACAACATAAGCAGCAGCAAGCATAACAAATGAACAAAAACTTTTTAAAATGTTCTGAAGAGAGCTTACAAAAAAAAAATTCAAAAACTAAAAGCACAAAGAAGGCTACCATACGGAAGAAGAAGAAGGGAACTATACTTTACCGCAAATGTATGAAAAATAGCAAAGTGCACGTAGCCAGTATACAATTTTTAAATATTTAAACATTTTTTTGTCAATTCAATTAGGAACCTCAAAGTGCATTCCTTTCAACAGCTAAATTCGAGACTTGTTTAAGGTGAATATATATATGTGAGATATATATGTGGCCCGTTACCAATCAAATTTGTGCTACTTGCCTGCATCAAGTGTTTTGTTTACTCAAGCAACCAAGTGTCGTTTAGCCGACGTACCTGAGGCAACTCGTAGCTGCTAGTAAATTCCATGAAACTTTAAGAGAGCTGGCCCCGAAGCACTACAACCGCCTTTGACAGGATTAAAATGTTCTGGCGAGCCAGACGACTGTGCAGCAGGAGTGGGCTTGGCAACGAGTGGCCAGGCAAACACTGCAACGAAGTGAATGCAAATAGCTGCGTTCGACTGGCTTGTTGGGCGTATGAGTATTGCTTTTATAACAGGAAGGTGGTGGAACGCCTACTTCTCTTCTCTTCAAATAGAAATGCAGTCAGCAGTGGACAAGCTTTTGGCTTCGCTTCATGCAACAGTCCGTACAGCGTTCCCTTGCCTGATAATATTGCCAATATGTGAATTGTTAGGTTAAGGTTCAAATCAGCAAACAGTATTTATGGCAATAACTACCCCGCATTCATAGCTTTGAGTACACTCTATATGTTTGTCATGTGCCATAATTTATTAAGCTCTAATTTAAATATGCGCCCTTAACATTCACATAAAAGCAACTAGAATAATATATGTGGGATCAGCAAATGCAGCCGCTGACAATTAATGATTGATTGATTGATTGATTGATAGATTTGTGACAGTGGGGGTTGTGCGCGCATCGCTAACCAAAACAACAAAGCCAGAGAGTCAGCGAATCAATGACAACCCGGAACACGGTCAGCCATAACACAACAGGGAGCCGCACTCAGTGCTCATTTGCATATGCCGTGTTGTACAGTTTGTGGCCTTGCCCTGTGCCGACCTCTCGCTACGGCTCATAATGAATCATTGCCCCACAGCTAGGGGACTCATTTTACGCAAAATTACCTTTGGCATCCGCTGCAAACGTTTAACAACAGAACGGTTCATACTGACTGCAAGGTGCACACGATTACAAAACGGCTTGAGGCTGAGCCCAAACGCAATCATATGCCATGAGATCAACACATGGAGCCCCTCTGGCAACAATGACCATAAAACACTTAGTGCTTTGCTTGTATGTGTGTATGTGTGTCCCTGTGTGTTGTCTGTTTAATGGTCTTCGATATTTAAAAAGTAAACTCAAACGTAAAACGCAAGAAACAAAAAGATTATGTGAATGTAAGCTTATAGTGAAAATGTAATTTTTTTTATCTTAAATTTATTTTATTTCACTTCAGCTCTGGCCATCCACATAAAACATTTTAACGCACCCCTCTTAATATTAAAACACAAACTTCTCATTGTTGGCGAATCAGTAAAGTCAGCTTAATCAAAAAAAGTTGAAAAAATGGAGGGTGGCAAAGCGATTCTCAGTTAAGTGTAGCGTGAAATAGAAAGAGAGCTTTCAACTGCTCTCAGGGAAAATGTTGCCTCAATTAAAGATAAGTATCAAAGTGCATAATAATCAAAAGGCAGCCAGGCGAGAGACGGGCCAATGAGTATCTCGGCAGGTGCCAGGGCCAGACAGAGTCTAGGTTGGAGGGCGTGGCACAGTGTAAACACAGTTGTGCTGCTGCTGCTGCTCTTGCCGCTGCCTTGTCAAAATGATTGTCTTACATGCATTACACGTCGCTTGGCTCGCAGCATTCTCGAGCCATGGGCGCACCTGACGTATGCGCAATTTTTCACCTGCTCTTTCTGTTTTACTTTTGTTGCACATCGTTTTTCATAGACTGCAACAGCAACAGCAACAAATAGCAACGACAGCATGGCCAGTTATTTTCGTGCCGTTTTTACTGCAATTTATGCAGACTGGAAAACAGGAGTCAGGAGCCAGAAGGCAGGGGAGCAGCAACAAAAGCGTAGTCCAAATCCATGCCAGGCCTGCCCTCTTTTGGTCATTGCCTGTTAACACACCCAATGGGAGTTATTAATGTTTGCGGCGCTTTATTTACGGCTTGCTAGCAGGCAGGCAGGCATCGGCTTCGAGTCGATTTTTTACCGGCCCCGAAGGCACCAGAACTCGCTGACAGGCAGCAACTCCGATGCCAGCTCCTGTGGGCCTCCACGCAGTTGATTTAAATTTGGCGTAGTTAATTTTTAACCCAATTCCACCGGCTTTATTTATGTGAAACGCCCATTTAATGTTGCATTTTTTTATTGCCAGCTATTGCCAGATATTCAATGAGGACGTGCTTTAAGTTTTATATCAACATGTCTCAAACTAAAGGACAATCTTTGTGAAGAGTCTGTATTGAAGTGCATTTATACTTTTCCACGATTTTAAATTTTTATCGACTTTTCACATTTTCAATCCCTTGAGAGTAGCCCGTATTCCTCAGGCTTTCAACTTTCAACTTGAGTTGCTTGTCATGTTTCATTTGAAAATCAAATTTTAATTAAACTTGTGTGTCGACCTTCTTTCTACACTTGGCCCTACTGGCAGAACCTACTACTGTCGAGTGCGGTAAGATATTGTTAAGCAAATTTGACGAGTGTGTGAGAGTAATATTCAACTGTGATAAAATTTCAGTTTGAATGTCCAAACAAATCTCACATTCACAGGAAGAGAATCATGATGCACATTTTGGTTTAGTTTTATTAAAATGTTGCAATGTACAGCTTCTTTTCCTTGGGTTAGTTTCACGCAAATATGTGTCAAAATGGTCAAAAAAAAAATCAATAGACATAACATTTCCAGGAACTTGATGCCTAATAAAATATGCATAATTACCAATACAAGAGCTTCACGCACTGTCTGTGAGTCGAGGGCGATGTCGATGACCAGAGCCTCGGTTATTATTAACTGCATGCAACGGGAGCTGGTCACAACAGCACGACAACATGTGAATAATGTGCAGTGGCAACGAACGGAAACGGAAGTGAATGTTGAGGGCAGCCAACCAAGTGCCGCCCCCAAGTTAAGTTGGCTGTGCTGTCGCTCAGTTTGCGCTTCATTGCATGCCAAGTTTTAAAGCGAACATATCCCTAATTTGTTTGTCCTCTTTTCACCGGTGATGTTTATTAATGTACTTTTGTTGTATTTATTTAAGCAATTATTATTTCAGGCATGGCATCCGGGGGCGGGCCGGCGACAACAGAGAAATGCCAATTAAATTTTACAATTACCCAAGCATGAAACTGATTCATCAAATATACCCTAATTCAAATTCAATATTTGCTCAACACGTCACAAACTATATATATACTATAAAATATTTTCTAGTATTTTTAAATTAAACAAAATACAGCAATTATAATATAGTTTTAAACTATAATAAGAGAAAATATATTGACGCTAATCACATTATTTTGAATGTTGCATATTTGCATTTAACTCATATACAAATACAAACAACAAAAAAACTTTTTGTATATATTCAAATACAATAAATTTTGTAGGACCAAAGATCACAACTTTTTACAACAAAAATTTGCACAATTCAAATAGAATGATAAGAGAACAGAGCTCTAGTCGAGAGTACCAACGCGGATATACTATGCATCTCTATGTAACCAATTTAAATTTATTGCTTACGGGAAAACGGAGTGAGTTTTAAAGAAATTAAAATATTTCCGTATGATGTCACTCTCTTGTAGTCTCCGACAGATGGAAAGATCGTCTTAATCAAGACTATACTATTGGGTCGGAGCTGCTTTTTACAACATATGTACAAAAAAATATGCCCTTTTAACCCATTTTCAGCGGTCCATGGTATGAAAAGCGAGACAGATATAGCAATAGAAGGAAACAGAACAAACAGTTGAAAGCGTCAAGAATTTTTTGTTTGATGTTGTGCGGCGGCGGAAATTGCAAAATTGTAAAGCGCCACTTTCCGGCCATTTGGATAGCCGTCCAGCTGGGCACTGGCCCAGTGATTTTTAGTCAATCAGTGCGGCCAGTGGTCCAGCTCTTGTTCATGTGTTGCGAGTTTGAGTTGTGTATGTATATGTGTGTACGTGTGCGTGTGTGTGTGGATATGCTTGTGTATTTGCTGAGCATGTCCTGACCAGGCGTTAATTGAATTATGTTTGACGCTCAAGCGCTCTTAAAAAAAAAAAAAAACAGATGAAATGAAACACCGAAATTGATTCTGGCATTTCGCAGCGAATTCAGACCGAAAATCATGAAATTTTGCATATAAATAAGCCGCAAGACATTAGAAATGAAAACCATCCAATTAATAGTATTTAATTAAATGCAAAACAAAATTCATAAAACAAAATATGAAACAAAATTCATATAATAAGGCCTAAGGATCCAACCAGATATGGCGAGACATCAACTAAGCACATTGTGCTGTTATTAAATTATATGCTAATTTTGATCCAATACAGTAAACGTTTAAAAAGATAATTAAAATTAATATAGCAACTAAAAATAAATAACTACAAGTTTTTTATAAATAGATGTGAAAAAATATATATCTAATGACCTCATCATAATTAGACTTGCTTGCCCTTTACCCGTTCCAACCGAATTTAAATTGTTAGCAGTCTAATCGATCGATCCTTATCTATTTACATATGTTTATGTGAAGGTAATATAGCTATTGTATTAATCCAATTGAGATTCTACCCACCCCGAGTAATGTTTACTCATTTGCTTAGCTAGCAGTGTACGCAATTCATTACAAGCAATCATATATCAATAGGAACAGCTGAAATTACACAGGCCAACGCACAACGGAACAAATTCCTAAAACGAGTCAGCGAGTCAGCGAGGCCCTTAAACTGAATAGCGCAAAAACTAACAGTCGGCCCTTGTGCCAAATATATATGAAACAGTAAAACTTAATTTGCTGTTTATGCCACAACCTAATGACAACTGTCGACAGCCAAATGGCGGCTGGCGGTCATTGCTGGGGTTTTGTCTTGGCGCCTGGTCCGCTGAGGATTTAAGGATTAATAAGCCAAGTTTGGGACGGCGCTAATGAACTGTGCGCTAAGCCCCCAGAAATGAACTGACGAACTGCAAATGAGCGTGCGACTAGACGCACAACTGGTCGTATGTGTGATGGCCAGCTTAGTCGACCATTTGACATTTTGCGCACGCATACACAAGCTAGCTATATGCGAATTATATGGGCAAACAAACGTAACATTTGCGTTGATTGCCAAATGCCGTCGGCTGCTTTTAGGCCATGATCCAGCTGCATATAAAATATAATGAAGAGAAATAACTTAAAGCGACGCAGCCATAAAATAAATGAGGCAGCAATGGCAAGTTTTGTGGCTCAAATGGCATGTTTGTGGACAACTCACATGCTCACATGTGTATAAGTGATAGGTATGCTTATGTCCTCAGCTTGGGCGAATTTCGTGGTGATTTGCATTGCCAGAAAGTTATAGGCAAAAAAGCTTGTCAATCCTTTTTGCTGATCGAGGGCTTGGCCAAAGTTTTATTTGGCTTATTTATTAGGCCCTATATGGCATTTGCATGGGCAGCCAAAAGACATTTGCGACCGATTTCATGCCGGCGCATTCTGTGAATACCAACAGGATGATAAATCAAAGCTCCTTACGGCTTTTATTGGACTTGTTCGAGAATTTGTTTACGATACGGCTCTAACAACAAATGTCATCAAATGGTATTTGTATTTTTAGCGTAAATTTCATAAATCAAAACTTTTGTTGCCCCCCAAAATTCTTTAGGCAACTTTTGATTGCCTTTTTAGACATTTTTAAGACATCCTCTTTTTCTGCCATTTGATACATTTTGCCTAGCTGGCACAACAACTTCAAAGCTATTGCGTTGCTAGCTTAAAAGTTATGATGCCTCACATTTCATTCGCTCTGGGCATTCTGCGCTGTCTGACTCATAATTAAATAAATTTTCATTTAGCCTGTTGACACATTTGACTGCTCATTAAACATTTAAATGGCGTTCATTTCGGCCACACTAAGTCATGCATGCTTTGTTCCCAACTCTGTGCACGCTTCTGTAATTTATGCTCATTTCGATTTAGTATTCTACTATACTAACTTGTTTAAACTCGACCACATATCACGCAGCAAAAAGCCAAAATAACCAATGCCATATTTCGTTGGCTGTAATTCGCGCATTAATTTCGATTTAACGAGCATGCGAAGCAGAGGCCCCAAAAATCACGTCAACAATAAAAAGTGAGAGGCGTCGAGGGACCCCTATTTAAAATATATAAATTTATTTTCTCCTATCAAATCTATATGTGTGTGTGAATGTGTGTGTCGCATACAATTTGCCTAATGACGACAGCGAAATATTTGTGAGATATTTATAATATTAATAAATTAAGTTTATTTATACACAGGGAACTTATACTCAAAAAATATTAGAGTAATTGGGGTATATATATTTCTTCCGGATTTCATTTCCCTGACTAGTGTATAGACATGGTATTTTCTGAGTCGAAGGCCATAGTAGCCAGTGATAAAAATAAATAACAGGAACAATAATGTTAATAATAATAGTAATAATAATAATAATAATAATAATAATAATAATAATAATGATAATAATATAATAATAATAATAATAATAATAATAATAATAATAATAATAATAATAATAATAATAATAATAATAATAATAATAATAATAAAACTAATAATTATAAAACTAATAATAATTATAATAATATTTTGATATATAATAGATATACCTAATGTGTTTAACATATATTAAATCTATATATACAACTGAAACTGCTGATTTTTCATTTTAAACATTTTTCGAAACATTTTGTGTACAGAAACATTGTGGTGACACAAAACAAAGGTTTATCTGCCTTCATTTATGCAACAACTTTATATCTACTGTATATTTTAGGATAGGATTTTATAGATACTGCCTTGCGCCTAGTTAATCCCATTTCAGCTGTTTTAAGCAGCTACTATAATTCAAACAATATATTGCGCAGTCGCTTGCACTTCCCACTTCCCCGTTTGAACTTGTTTTTTATGTTAGGGTCCAATGCACATGGGAAAATATGTTGACTGCGCTTTTACAAGCTTTTAATGAGCATTGCCATCACAAATTATATTCGCCAAATGAACAACTCAAATTTACAACATAATTAACGAGAGGTATGCATAAAATCATGAAATGTACTAACATAGTAATTTACGCATGCTTCGTGAGTGCACTGTGCTACACGGATTTAAGTTACCTGCCCGAGTCCAGAATTGTATTTAATTGGGGCATATTTTATATAGCCGCCATTTGGGCGTCTATTAATTATCTGTAAATGTGACAAAAGCAGAATCAGCAGAATCGTTGTGTTTGTTTGTTTGTTTTTAATGATCCTAAGATTTGGCGACATAACGGCATATTAAACGCAGAAGAACGCTGCAGAATGCTTACTAACGATGTACACTAAAAATAAAGCAAAGCAAGAGACGAACGAAAGAAATCTCCTCAGCCAGGCCACGCCAACAATATTAATAGGCACTTAAAACTGTGTGGGGGCTGGCTAGAGAGAAATGGATGAGTGGATGAGGCGCGTAGACAAGGACGGACGCGCCAGATTACGAGCTGTGGAGCGCTGATGAAGACACGTTTTTACATTGCGTATATTGACGTTAAAATTAGATGACAACTTGTCGGCGACGCGTCGTTGGCAGAGCCTCAGCCTCTGCAACAACGCGTATCATATTTTAGCTGATGTTCAAGATGATGATGATAATGGCATGATGGGATGATGCCTCTATCTAAAGTTGCCGCATGTGAATGGTGATGAGCTGGCCCCCACCCTCCCCGCCCTACACCTTCAAATGCAGGTGGATGTCATAAAGCCGATGATATATGGATATCTGACACATATATCAACATGTTAAATAGACCAGGCTAGTGTTTAATATTTTGTTCAGGAAAATATTTTTAAACCAAGCAGAGAGTACTATTATTTTGTCACAAGATGTGAAACACATACCAGCTCATGTTTTCGGCCTCATTAACTACAAATGAAACAAACCCGGTTAAGTACCCTTCAAACCATTTAATAATTGTCTACGTATGACATCCCAAAACAAAAAAAAAATTTAATTAAATTAAAGTAAGATGAATCTATCAACCCAAGTCCGTCATTTCGTCTGTATGTCAAAATTGGGAATAGTTTTTGGAAATATTTCAGAGTTTTCAGAGAGAATTCAAATTTTCTGAAAAGGTTCTTTTTCAAACATAGATGAATATTCGACCTTTCTTTACGACCCTGCCAGTAAAATGGCAAAACTTATTTGTAAAATTTGTACCGAAAGATTGTGAGTGAGTATAATTTAATTATATATATGTTATATGTTAATTTTATGATTACTTTTATAATTTGCTTGCACCGTGTGGGCCTAATAAACTTTATTCATAAATATTTGAATTATTTTAATTGTTTTAATTTCACCACTTGTTCGGCTCCAATGGCTCGACATCTCTATACTGCTCGCCAGCCTTGCACAATGCCGGATACAATCTGTCATAACCGTTCTGGCAGTTCAGACTCTTCACTCTATAAATGGCATACTCGGGCATATAATTGCTGGCGTAGTTACAGGCCATTAGAAAGTTTTGCGTCTGTCCCAAGCCATATCTTATGGCCGCACAGCCCACATGTGTGTTGTTGTCGCGCGCCATCACCGCAAAGTTACGCACAAGGCTGTTGAGAGATTATAAGATAGAAATAGAAATATAAATAAAAATCACAATGATTACGATTTACGCACTCGGTAATTTTGGGTTCCTTGGGCAGGTATTCCACTCGCTGCTGTGTTATGTTTTTGTGCTGATCCCACCAGCGATCAATTGTAGAATTGATCAGCTCCTCATTCGACATATCAGTCTTATTTATTTTAACCAGTGCCAAATTTTGACCAGAATTACGAAACTCTGGAGTATTGTGGCATGGATCATACTTTAGCGAACATTGTTTTACATTGAGCATAGCCAGCTTCTCTAGTTCCTCATGCCATTGCATTGTGGCCATTTTCTCGGGCACCTTTAAGTTCTCCAACTTGCCAGAGGCAAGCAAATTCCGGTGCTGGTTGTGCTGGTTTAGAATGATCGGCTGATGCTGAGTAAGATTCAAAATCTGCGCACTGGCTGGACAGAACCTGGCTAGCTCCTGTGGGTTGGTGGAACGATCAGCTAGCAGGGCAAGGTAGGTGCTGCCCTCATACTTACACCATTGTTCTTGCAGCCAATATGTCTTTTAAGTGAAGGGCACAACCCCGGTTGACAGTAATTGGTAATTGCGTCCTGACTATAGACTTGCTGCAGCATCAGCAGCAAAACTGTGGCCAGTAGATGCTTGCAGTACAGCTCCATGTTGCTTGATGTTTGTTGGCTGATTGGTATGGGCCTGTGGCTTTTATAGTTGCTTCCAGCCATTTAGCCAGCTCACGCAGTGTTGCTGTGACAACTGTTTTTGGCCAGAACATCTGTTGCTGTTCACTTTACTATGGCCTACTCATGCCTATGCAGCTTAGCACATAATTCAACACAAAAACAGACACAAAGTTTCCACACATACATGCGCACACACACAGGTTCAAATGTCATGCAAATAAATCTAACTTTTGTTCGGGGGCTATCAATGCCAAAGGTATATAAGCTGCTGCAGTGAAGGGTTGCCGCCTCGACTTGCCACACTTGACATTTACAAATAAAAAACAAAAAGCAACAGGGGCAAAAAAGATGAGTGCTGAAATGTGAAGGCAAAAATTCTTTTCACGCTGAAATTTAAACAGTAAAGACAACAAAAAAGTGTTCTGCAAATCTCTGCTGCAATTCATGAAAATACAAAAAGCAGGAGAAAACAAAAACGGAACGGTAGAAAGAGAAATGAAAGTGCCGCTATGCCCTTGTCGTTCATTTTCTACCTGAATTGAAATAGTTTTTCTTGACTCCAAGGACCGAATGGACATTCCCCTCCAACAGTTTTTCCCTTTCATTAAATGGCGCAATGTTTTCAAGCTTATGAGAAAAAAAGTAAAAAATACTGCTTTCGCAGGAAAAAGTGATAAATATGGCAATTTTTTGTTATGTATGTATAAATATATAATAATTTTAATAAAAAATCATCGCTATTACTTAAAACAACAAATTATAAAATATGTAACTAACCGAACTGAAATATTGCAATTGTTTAAAAAGTCCCACATGTTTTCCTTTCAATCGATTGGGAATATTGAAAGATGGAAGAAACATTACTTGGAAATTATCGTGAGATTAATAAACCAACTCTCTAAAAATACTGGTTACGTCCACTAGTTATTGTCGCATAAAAATATAATAATTAGGAGTAAACAATTTTTTGTTACAGTAATGTTAAAGTAATTTTATGCATTTTAAAATAATTTAATCCCCATTTACACATCTTATGCAGCTCTCGCATCGCACTAAATTCTCTTTCGTCTCGCTCTCTTACTTTTTACTTTCGCAAGGTATGAGAAGCAACAGATATAAGCCACACCAGCAGGCAAAAATAAGTCATAGCAATGACCCATTCCGCAGTCATGCTGGAAGTCCTAGCTTGGCCAGATTATCTCGTCATGACAGCAACAAAAAGAGCTACTTACAGCAACGAAAATCTTTAGTTTGCTAAGATGCTACCAGCCGTTATTATTATTTTTGCTGAAGCCAATTTAATTTCAAGCTTTATGGTCGAGCAGCAAATAAAATAAAATGCAACGTGAACTAAAAGCAGGTATGAGCGGTCCAACCGAATGCGCAATGCTCTATATATAGTACAATAAAAGCTTAAATCTGCCTATTGGCATGACGTGGAGATACGAAAGTGTGTATTCAAAGTTTTCTTCATAGGAAGATACGGGCTATAAGCAAGACAGACATTACCTGAAAACAATATACCCCTTACAAGTTTTGAGCAGAGTATAAAAAAAAGGAGTAACAGTAAGTTGAGTCCCAGAAAAATCCTCTGCAGGTGCAAGACGTGTCGGTTGCATCTACGGCAATTTTGCTGTGAAGGTTGCTGCCATTTAGAGAATTAACTGAACGGTTTAAGCAAAGCGAAAGGCGGAAAAGAAAAGCTTCGTCTTACACTCGCTTTTCACTTAATTGGATTTGCTTTGGCATCCTCTTGCCTCTACCGCCTATTCAAGGCTAATAATTGCAGTTTGTAATTATTTGTACAGGGCTTAGCGCTGCAAAAGACAGCTGCAGCTTAAATGTATCTCCAAAACATGTGTCATTCTCTCATTTCTCTCTCTCTCTCTATCTTTCTCTTTTTCTTTCCCTCATCGTTTCTCTGGTGACTGCTTCGAATACAATTTTAAGCAGTGTATGATATTTAAATACTGAAATAAACAGAAAGTTATTTTGGATGCCCCTACGGATATAATACACTCGCACACACCAAACTAATATGCATATACACACTGCTGAACTCTCGCTCTTGGGGTTAAAATCAATTTCATTTAATTTCCTCAAAAATCAGCAACGCGTTGCCAGCATAGTCCTTCGATTTTGGTTTTCTTTTGATTGGCGGCAATTGGCAGCGTGCTTAGTATACACACACTGCTGTATATCAATGCGTATGTGTGGGTGTGTGTGCTTGTGTAAACGGAAATTGAAATTCTCACACATTTACACACATGTATACACATTATGCAGAGCATGAGCAAGTTTTGCCTCCTTCACAATCCCATTTTTAGACTGTTGCCTTCTTGCCATTGCCATATGGAGTATTTATTTGCATATTTAAAGGCAAAAATTTAAATGATATACATGTTACAGGCAGCCAGGCGTAAAAATTGTATATGAGAGTGTGTATGAGTATGCATGAGTGTGTGAAGCACATTGGGATGTCAATAAAACAATGACAATGTCGCAATTCCGATTGCCATTTCTTGAGCTTCATGCGACATACGGCTCGGTCCTGTCACTTAAAATGCTCAACTCAATTCGTTTTGTCACGTCCACGTCACATCGAGCAGTCAACCATCTGGGAAGCTGCCTGGGCTTCAGTTTATGTCACGCATTATTAACACACGCCTCGTAGCCAGTTGCCAATGCAGAAACAGCAACAACAGCAGCAACAGCAGCGACATGTGCAACGCGGCGTATGCGCAATGCCAAATGGCAGTCAAAGTCGTGGCAGCAACTCGGTAGTGCTTTGGCAGGAACGGATTGCCGCCACGACTTTGACTGCCACTGCCATAGTTACTGCCACTGCGGCTTCTGCTTTAGAGTCGTGAGTTGATTGCCAAACGCATTGCAATTCCAATATCATCCATTTGTACTGGTTGTCTGCTGCCCACATTTATGGGCAGTGCATGGCGCCAGTAAGGTTTTGTTGTACACTACAAAAGGGTATTAGAAGCTCATCACTAAGAAGGCTAGATCACTTATTGCTATTGTTATCTTTAGTATAGGATAAAGTTTCTATTAACTCGACTCACAACCAAAACAACGCTGGCACTCAAACATGGATCCTATTGCTATAAGTTTATTAAAAGATCTTGCTATAAGTGTTTCAATCAGTAGCTGACAGCAATTCATAAGACAAAAACGATAATCAAAAGATTTTCATATCAGAATGCTCGAATTCCAACTTGAATATGAAGGTAAGGTAAGTGTTATTCCTATAATGGAACATAAGATAAAGTAAACACTTTATACCTGATAAATATGTAAAGTCTAGATATTTTTAAATAATCCCTTAGAAGCACACATAACACGCATTTAAGGGTGTTGAATCTTCGGTAGACTGAAGCTAGTTGAACACTCTTGTTCTCTTCTTTTAGTGTTTTTCGTTTTTTGTACAAAGGCTGAGATTTGTTTGCCGTTGCTCGACGCTGGAGAGCTGGAAAAGAAAATATTGCGCATGCTTTTCTTTTTTACCTTATTTATTCTTGCATTGTCGACCGCCTGCGCTTATGCAATAGTTTTTGGCACGTTCCGCTATGCTTGGAGCGCACACTGAATGCCCATGTATGTGTCTCTGGGTGCGTGGGTATGTGTAAGCTATGCAGCACTTGCACTAATGAAAAGTCTTGTGGCTGTGGTAACGTGCTAGCCACGGCAATGGCATGCAGGGGCATCCAAGTGGCAAAGCTCATCTCTGCCAAATCTCGTCAAAATATCTAAGAAATTGTTTAAACCAAATGCGTAGAAATCCTTACAAAATATCTATTCATAAAATTGCTCATCGTGGTTGACCGACTGACTTTTTGGTTGATCGACGCACAGCTTAGTCCGTAAGAGCTACATAAGAAATTTTGTATATATTGAATGCTATCGAATTCAACTCAATATATATGCATTCTTCGGAAAAACTTATTTACCTATGCCCAAGTTAATTTGGCTTTATACTTTTCAATTATATTTCTGTAAGCCCTACTAATTAACTTCTTAATCAATACACAGACAGACGAGATTTAAGGTCACATTTCGTTGAAATATTCAGCTGACATTATGTACCTGAGTTAATATATCCGCACACCTTTATTCACATAGACGCGTTCAAAGGTCGCTGCCTGAACAATTTGTTGTCGCTCGTGGCATTTGGCCGAGCACATCGTCAATTCCACCTTGTTGCTGTCAACTTAGCATAGACTTCACCAGTGTCTTCATCGGTGGCGTCTCCCTCTATGTCAGCTACGCTCGATATACGGCACCAAGAAAGACAGACAGTCGTCGGTCGACAGTCGCTGACACGCATCGCGGCATATGCTTTAGCTTTATCTACAGCTCCTTGGTGTCGTCATTCCGACAGCCCCTACGCTCAGACCCCACACTGCACAACAACAGTATTTGCCACAACATTGTCGATGTTGCCTAGTCCCTGCCGCGGTTACCCCAGCTCCCAATCAGATTTCTTGCCAACTGATTTTGTGATTTTCGCAGAATATCGCGGCAACATTCAAGGGTGTGCAGCGGTTGCAGGCGGCCTGCGAGATGCGGGGTGCGGTAGCTCATTAAATACGCTTTGACATTTGCTGTGCGTGTTGCTCACATTTCGCTTATCTTGCTTAGTCGGAAGGCAGCCAGCCAGACGCACAGACGAGACAATGAGCCAGCCCCGCTCGGTAGCCCTCGTGCTAGCCGTGTCCCCTATCAGCGCGACGTCTGCATCAAATCAAACATGTGGCGCGGCAGCCGCATCGTTTCGACATTTATGCGACGGCATTAAACACCCCGTGGCAAACACAAATCGTATAAACAGCCCACACGTAATTAGCTGCGTGGACTTTAAAAATTTGTACGCACTATTAAAAGATATGGCAGGGCCACATTGTAATATGCAAACAAGATAAATCTGAGCGGCGTTATGTTTCCTTTTAAGAATTTGACAATCTGTTTTCTCAGTCCAACGCCCCTGCCCGA